CGTTGTATCTATTTACTATTCTTTTCAAAACAGTCTGGAGAATAGCCTAAGCAGTTTTCTCATAAATGACACTAAAATCAGACTCTAGAGACTGCACAAAACTATGACAAAGCCATTGAAGCTTTTTTTTCTGATTTTTCTGTTACTTATATCACAGAAATAACTGTTTCATAACCTGAAAAATACACCAGTGTAAAAGCGTGCAAGGAAAAAACATGCCAACAGATCCATATTACATTCTGAATGTACTATAATTCATCTGTTATAGAAGGGAGCAAAGCAGACAAGCTTGCTTTACATTCAGTGGCTGAAAGTTTGCTCTGACTTGCATTATAGCACACTGAAACTGAGTGCGCTGTTTGATCCCCTATTTTTTGTGCCTGGGAGGGGGAAAAAAATCAACGTGATTCCATACCTAGAGAAGGTAAAGTTGTGTGTAAGCAATATCGACGGTCCTTTGTAATGTAAAGTACCTACTAAGAAGTTCCTGAGTAACAATACAAATGCAGTGGAGCAATGAAATTATTAGAAGACACTAATAAGATTTTTAACTGCCTTATGTTTCATGCATTTTCTTAGACTCTTAGACATTGCCATCCCTGTTATATCCAGTTTTTGTGTAATCCAGTTGTTGAATCATCTCCTCCAACGTGATTTCTGAGATAATTCTGTCACTTTAGTCACAGCTCTGACTTCCCCCGTTGCACACAGTCTTACACAGACAGACCCATCCTGGAAGCAGTGATCAGGATGTGGGCTGCAGCATTATATTGGGACTTTGACTACTTCTGTGAGATCTGCTCTTTACGCAAAGAGAGTTACAAAAATACATGATGTAACACTGGATTTCACTTATTCTGAGTGGAGTTCAGAGTTTCCCCTTCTGAAGCTTCCGATGCACCTAGGACAAACTCCACGCAATCCTGAGTGTGGGACCGGCTGGGCCACAGGATCAGAGACAGACGTCTCCTTCTCTGGCCTCCACAACTCCACCAAGTCAATGCAATGCTCATTATGCAAACGAAGCTGAGTTGAGGATGTAATAACTGAGATCACACAAATCTGACATAGCACTGTGACTCTCTGTCGGTAGAAACCCTTATATATTTTCTTTCCAGATAGATGGCCTCCTGGGCTAGGCTCTGATTAGCAAAGCAGTTACAAATCCACTTAGCTGCTGTAGACCCAGATGAAAGCAGAATCTGCCCCCTCTTTCCCAGCTGACCTTCAGTAAATCAATTCAAGAAAAAGTTGATATAAAGACAAAAGCTTTGTTATAAAGCTGGACAGTTACGGGCTTGTATTTCAGAAGCGGCCAGAGATTCTGGCTACGTTGCTTTTCAAGGCTAAAACTTGAAAGTGGATGTTTGGCACTATTTCAACCAACTCTCCTTCACGAGAACTGACACACAGAACCGCTAATCGAATCTGGAATTCTTGGCCCAGATGATGAGAAAACTGGGAGAAAACTTCAGTATGTGAATGTGTTGTAAGGAATACAGTTAGACATTGTCCTTTCTCTATACAAAATACCATGCCCTAGAAAATGGTGCTTTGCAATACACTGTGCACAAGTGCTGCACTGTATATTATGCAGAAATACAAACTTTTACACAAGTTGTACATTTCACTACATCACAGTTTATTGTATTTTTTAATTTGAAAAGTAGACGTCTTGTGTTCCAAAGTCCACCTTGCAACAAAACAGAGTATTTTTTCTTGCTAAACGGAGGAAAATTCAGGTCCAAAATCTCTTCTGACCCAAAACCTGCAGGACGCTCTTCATGAAGTATCAGCTCTAATACCCCAGTGATATTCCCCGGGAGGCACTCAGTTGTGGGAGGCACAGCAACTCACATATGCACGTAGCAGTTTGTTTTTTGTCTATCACATCCCATGCATTTTCTTTTATGTGTGAAGAGCATTTGTAACTCCTGCTTAACAGTTCTCATTTGTAATAAATTCAAAATGACATCTAGAAGTGAGACTTCTAGGAGGAGAATACCTCCTTAGGTTATTTGAATTTGTAAGCGGAGTATTTGCACTGGCGTAAAATGACACCCCGTATTTTGTCACTTTACTCCCGTGTTGCACCGTTTTGAGTAACGGTGAAGACCCGGACATTCGAAGAAGGAACGTGGGTGCTGGCCTTCCCAGAGGTCTGTAACTCAAGTTGAGCCACAGAAAGACTATCTTTAAATAGCCCAGGACTGCCAAAGCCAAAGAATACTCTCAGCCCATGTTTGTTTATATGCAGCAATCTCAATCAACATTTGCTTTTGCACTCAGTGAAAGGCAAACTGGCAGCGCCGCAAGGCCGGGTGGGCAGATCGATACCCGTCCCGAATTTTCTGCAATTTGTTTTCATTTCGGCGGCAACGCAGTCGCAGCTCCCAGTCGCTGTAAAGCCCCAGAAACGCGATTTGACGCGACTTTCCCCGCGTTCTTCTTCTCCGCGGCTGGGACCCGAGCGCCGAACAGCCGTCAGTCCCTGCTGCCGCCGGAAGGAGGGGGCGGGGAGGCGGCTCGGTGGCGGTTCGGGCTGTTCGGCCATGCCCCCGCACCTGCGGCGGCCGCGGACGGGGACCCCCGGCGCCGAGGGGGA